TACTGGGGAATCAAACTCAGAACCTTGCACTTGCGAGGCAGACACAGTGCCACTGAGCTAAATCCCCGGCCCTCGTGAGATAGCCTTCTGTTATGCAGCTCCACAGCTCCAGGAGGATGTTCCACACGTGGCATGGGATGAAGGCCACAGGCTCCAAATGTGAGAGCATGGGCTGGGCTCTGAGTCCGTGCACACAGAGAACACAGAACATCTCGCTGATCCTCTTGATTCTGATCCCAGGCTGACATATCTTGGGGAGATTAGGTGGAATGAAATATTATTAAAATCCTTCTGACCTGCTGCTTCTTACTTTTGTAGCGTGTCTACTCAAAAAATTTTAAATTCCCCAAGTGATTAGTAATATATTTGTGTTGGGCAGGGCTGCTCGGGAGAAATTAAGGGACTCCTGGGGATGCAGGAGCAACTCCAGCTCCTGCCACTCGGTCCCATCTTGTGAGCCTCCAGGGTCCCAGGAGATGAAGTAACTGGCCCCGAGTCACACAGCAAGACCAGAGGGCGCAGGGACCTGAGGCTCACATCTATGCTCTGCCTCCTGTCTTCCAGCTGAGCCTGGTTCCTAAATCCAAGGGCCAACCCCAATGCAGCAGCACGTCCTCTGGCCTCCGTGGGTCTTCAGGGATGCGGAAGGATGAGGCCATAGTCCCTGGGGTCCTAGAGAGGAAATGGGAGAAGGCCAGGAAGAGTGAGTGGCAGGAGAGGAGGGCTGCGAGGGGCTCAGCTCATGTGGGAAGGAGACACAGGAGGAGGCCGAGGACCCCTGACAACACCGACTCACTTGGCAAAGGACTTGGGGATGCCCCTGTGCAGCAAGCACGCTCAGCACTGGGTGCAGAAGTGGGTAGGCACCCTTGGCCCCTGACTTCCCAGAGTGAGATGATGCCAACCACCTTTGAGGTTAAGAGTGTGGGTCACGAAAGCCAGTTCGGTTCCAAACTCCCTGGGCCCAACAGCAAGACCCTGGGCCACCTGTGCCCTGTGCAGAAGGTGGTGTGGAGTCACCTGGAAGACCGCAGTGAAGCCTGTAGCTCCTTATGGGTGAAGAAGATGCAGGGCCCAGCAGTGCAGGCAGAGAGGCCGGTTCAGCCCCAATAGCCCGGCATTGTGCGAGGAGCCCTGCTCGCCTGCACACTTCCGAGCGGCATCCTGTGCCTGCTGCTCCTGCAAACTACAATGTCTACCTCGTCTCTTGCAGGGAGCCCGCTGTGTGCCCAGGTCCCTGAGGAGCAGCAGCAGATCACAGAGTGAAGAGAGGTCTGGACAGGATTAAAGGACTTTCCCAGGGAAGCAGTGATTGTGGAGACCCACAGCAGCCTTGCTGGGGTCTCAGGGGAGAAGCATGTTGTCCCCACCGAGAGCCACAGGGACAGGGTGATGGATGTTCTCAGGGGACCCAAATGCCTCCTATCCCAGGTACAGAGCACTGCCCTGCTGCCCACCCATGCAGAGAGCCTGCCACAAGGCCAGGGACACATAGCAGGGCTGTGAGTCAGTGTAGCAGGGCAGCCAGAAGGCTGGGAGGAGGCCCGCAAAAGGGCCTGTGGGGCGGGAGCTGCCTGAGGTTGAACCTTCCATGCAGAATCTGGGTAAACAGCCCCCACCCTGGGCAGCGCTCTCCTTAGCCAGTCCCGGGCAGTATCAGAACCGGCCCAGGTGAGGAGGCACACATGCCAGGAGGGGAAGGTACTTGCCCTAGGGTGTCCAGGGACTCAAGGCTGGGGCTCTAGACTCCCTGCACAGTGCTCTTGACCAAATGTCACCTGAGCGAGGCCATCCTGGAATGCAAACTGCACTTTGTACATTTAAATTGCTCCAACTGCCCAGGAGGGTTGCTGCTCAGGAATCTGTACTAGAAAACAGGCTGCTAATTCCTGAAGCAGGAGAAAGGAGCAAAGGCCCCACTGTGTGCGGGGCACCAGCTAGGGGTTACGCACACACCGTCTTTCTGAAGAGACAGCCACCACCCAAGCCTCCAAGTTAGGGATGTGGCACCTGGCGCCCGAAGAGGCCAGCATGCTGCAGCCACGCTCTACGGTGATGGCTCAGCCTGAGCCAGCAAGTGCCACCCCTCTGGGGTCCATGCTGACCCCCCCATGCCAGCCAGGAGCCTCAGGTGCAAATGGGGAGCCAGTGACCCCAGCCTTGCCCCTGAACCCTCAGGACCTGGGGGACAACTGTGAGGGGACAGCTGCATGAGGTCAGGCTCTGTGGAGGCTCTGTGAGGCTCTGTGGAGGAGGGGCAGCCAAGCCATGGACCTCTTTCCACACAGAGGCCAGGATGGGTGACAGAGCTGAGAAGGCTGCAGTTTGAGCCCTGCCGGGAGCCCTTCACTGGGACTGTGGGGCAATCCCTTCGCTTCACTGACTTCAGCCTCCTTGCCTGTCAGATGGTGACCACATCATAGGGGTCGTGATGGTGCTGTGGGAAGAGCCAGTACTTACCTGGTCCTTGTTAGGGCAATTTGGGTTTTTTTGTCCAGTCCCAGGGATCGAAGTCAGGACCTTGCACTTGCTAGGCAGGTGCAGGGCCACTGAGCTACATCTCTGGCCCTCACCTGGTCCTTGTGAGGCACTCGAGTTTCCACTGTCATGGCTACATCAACATGTGACATGCACCAAGGGTTGCTCTAATAGCTACGTGAATGACACGTGCACACAAGTGCCTGTGCACATGCGTGTGCACATGGTGCGTACACACACGTACACACACTCGTAATGCTGCCGGGAGGCCACGGCGTAAGGCTCCCTGCACGACGGCGGTGAGGGCATCCCAGTCAGCAGTGTGTCACTGTGACAGGCACCGACAGGGTTACCTGGGCTCGCAGTGTCAGAGGCTCTGGTCCCTGGGCAGGTGGCCCTGGTGCTCAGGGTGGGTGGAGAGGCGGCGCATCCCGTGGGAGCGCATGTGTGGCAGAGCTGCTCACTGCATGACTGGATCCAGGGAAAGAAAGACGGGCTGTGCCCCCCCCATGACCACGAGGCCTCCCGCCAGGCCCCACCTCTCAGGTTTTCCACCACCTGCAGCTAGCACCACTGTGGGAAACAAGCCTTCAATATATGGGCCTTCAGGGGACACACGAGATACAAGCTACAGAAGGGACTCAGGGAGCTGAGGACAGAACAGCAGGGCCACCGCCATGGACCAACAGGAAGGGCAGCCCTGGAGTGGCCATATCCACGGCGAAGTGTGCTGCACACCCACTGGCCTCCTCAAGACTCTGAAGGGCAGGCAGGTAGCCAGCACACAGCCACCCACCCACCCAGTAGCACTTCTCCACCCACTGCCTCCACCAGGAAAACTCACATCCAGTATCCCTGGTGAACTCCTACTTAGGCTTCAAAACCTCAAGACACCTCCTCTAGGGTGATTTCCTTCCCCTACCTTAAACCTGGCATAGTAAGAGGCTGTATCCTCTGGGGTCCTGGGCACATTGCTCTTGAATTCAAGACCAGCCTCCTCCACACACTTGGTCCTGCGTCTACACTACAAGGATGATGAAATGTGTTTCAGGAAGAAGCCGCAGGAGGTGCCAAGGACAGACTTGGTATGAAACACGCCCTCAGTCAATGTCACGGTGTCATTTTTTCCCTGTGACAGGTGCACAGGGCACCCCTTTCTCCAACTCTGCCCTGGGCCCTGCTCCCAGCTTTCCCAACTGGAGCATGTTAGGGTCTGAATAGCAGAGCAAGTGATTTGGGAAGAGGACAAGGGTTGAGTGGGTCCCCAGGGCAGAAAGGGACACAGCTCCAGGACCTCAGTGCCGAGAAGAGTAGCCCAAAAGAAGCAGGAGGCTGAAAAGGAGGAGGAGTCCACACCAGGGGCAGTGCAGCCCAAACCAGCAAGGGGCAAATGCAAAGAGGTCAAGGGCAAAGGTTCAAGGTCAAAGGGAAGACATATTCAGAACCCGCAGTCAAGGACATGGACAGAAACGGGGGGTGGGGTGCTGGGAAAGACCTGACCCCAGGGACCTGAGGTGCAGAGGTCCTGGAGAGCCAAGGGAGGACAGAGACACAGTCAACGCCAGCAGAGACCACTGAGCCAAACTCAAAAGTCACCGCCACCCTGTAGTCCCATGAGAAGGGTGCACAGGGTGTCTGGGGAGGAAGGACTGTGAGGAGGGACAGGATGAGGTCAGAGGACCTGCTGTGGGACACAGACAAGGGCCCACCATGTCCCCAAGGATACTTTCTGTCTTGGTCCCTGCAGGGAGGAGGCCCAGCCACCTTGCCTTGCAGGAGGAACTGCCCTGAGACCAAGGCTGCCAGCTCCCTGGGAGCCATGGGCCAAGGCAGGGAAGGTTGGGACACAGAGGACAGAGCCACATGCCTGGTCCCCCACAGAAATGGCCCCATATCCTTGGCCCAGGCACTGCACCCACTCAGGCCTCAGCTTCCCACCAGCTAAGCAGTAGGAATGATGACACACACCTCTTGCCCACTTCGAGTTCCTCTGAGCAGTCACACGGGGCCTGTACCTATCACTCACTGCCATCAGCTCCCAGGTCAGGCCAAGCTCCGAGATCTCATGTCACCACCTCCTGAGCCCTGCAGAGACTCACTGTGATCTTACTTGACCGATAAGAAAACCGAGGCCAAGGGAAGTCAGGTCATTAGATTTCACCCAGCCAGCAAGTGGCCGCAGGAGGATTTGCACCTCTGGCTTCAGTGGGCCTGGCAGGCTGCCCCACACCTGCTAGCCTGTGAGCAGTGCTTGCCCACTGGCATGCCTGCCACCCAGGGGCTCCAACAAGTCTCCGCAGGTGGCAGAGGCCAGGCCCAGAGCAGGATTGGAGGGCCGGCTGGTGACCAAAGGGAGCACAGAGGGCCCATGGCTTGAAAGTCCTCAGCTCTGTGAATCCCCCAAGCAGGGGACCCTTGAGCCCCAGGAAGGGCGCAAGTGTTCTATGCTGGAACAGGTCACCCACATCTGATAACAAAGTCTCCCTTTCCACATTAGCACCTTCTTTCCAAGACACATCACAGCTGAGCTGTGTACCCCAAATTCATATACTAAAGTCCTGACCCCAGTGCCTCAGATGGTGGTGTATGTGGAGGCAGGGACTCTCCAGAGGGCACTCACTTTCACTGGGGTGACCCAGTCCACTCTGTCCTTATAACAAGAGATCAGGACACAAACACATGCAGACAACTGCATGAGGACACAGGGAGGAGACACCATCTGCAAGTCAAGGGGAGAGGCTTCAGGTGGCTCAGTCCTGCAACATCTGGGTCCCTGGGACTTCCAGCTCCAGGACAGGAATAATAAACGTCTGCTACAGAAGTCACCAGGCTGTGGGCTTTGTTACGGCAGCCCCAGGAAGCTGACATGGGCAAGTGTGGAAACCCCTTCACTTCAGGCTGCCAACCTGCTAGAAGGGACCCCTGCTGGTGTCCTCCAGCAGCCCTGCGCATGCAGCTGGCAATGGCAGCACCTAGGCCCCAAAACAGGAAGGGTTCAAGGGGGCCCTGCAGCCTCCCAGCTCCAAGGCACCACAGGAGCTGCCCCACACTCTAGGACTGTCCTTCCAGCCTGCCCTCAGCATGCCGGGGATCCAGTGGACAGGAGCGAGTGGCCGCCTGACCCACGGCCTCCACAGCAGAGGGCTTGAGCTTGTGCGCTGGACTCTGAGCCACCCTCATGGGCACCACACAGA